ACTGGTATTAACACACACTGCCTGACTGACAATTCTCAAAGAGATTGCAATGGATCGTTGACTGGTTATGACGGCTAATGAAGTTTTGACATGATCTACAAGTGACTTTCAATATTAACAGTAAAATAAAATCCACAGACACGATCAACTTAAAATTTTAGTTCAAAGATTTGCATATTTTTACAATGACTTTTTTCCACATTAATAATTATTGTTTGTGGGTACGTCTATAATTACTATACATTACATTTTTAATTTACTACGATTAGTGACAAACGGGTGAAATACATACATCTACATCTAATTATTTCTCTTGCAGTGTTTTCTTTTCCAGCAATATACAGATACAATTTATTATATTCATGATTATTATTTATTTATAGCTATACTACTCACTGATCATTATATTCATCAGGATATATATTTTTTCTCAGAAAGTCTGTCTTTGAAAAGAAACTGTTGGGCCTTCAATTGGACAAGTTGTACTACTTACTGGCTTTATATGTAGTTCATCATGAACATGAAATTATATGTTTGGAAGTTGTGTAGAAAACCTCCTGAACTCAGAGGGCAGAGTTATCAAGTGGTTCGTATGACATGGGAGTTCCTTTGAAAGTGCTGGTCTGATGAAAACAGCAAGCAACTCCATGTGAACACAGCATATTTACATACAGTTCTACTGCTTCTGAAAATCATTCACCAGATGGGCTTTCAAGACTTCTAAATTAAACACAAAAATGTACATTAGTGATATTCGTTTCTAGGCAAAAAATATTTTATTTCTGTGCCTCTATTAATTCAGAGCATATATAAAAATATTTTTCCAGTGTACCACAATAAGCTTAATTTCCAAGTTATAATTTTGTTCTGTAGGTCAGATTATGGACACATTAAACTATAGTTTGAAAACACTACACGCGCTGTGGTGAAAAAACATTGTCACACATGTTTACAGTACTTAAATGAAGTATTGGGCCCAAGAACCATACTGGTATCTGTTATTTTGCATCCTTTATGACGACTTGTTATTTTCCAATACTGCCAACATTAACACTGTCCAAATGGTTAAACAAAGCTACTTGAAAATAAATATATTGTAAAATAAACATAAAAGAAATACTAAAGACCTGCTTGTGCCTACGCCAGAGGAAAATCCTCTCTCATTTCTGTTTGTATAGTCACATGCCAAGCATCCACTTCAGGCACCTTTCTAAAACTGCACTGCCAGCTTAGAAACTTTGCTTTGCTGCTGCTCTCAAGCTATGATGGTTTAGCTCTAGCCTGAGGCTTACACTAGTGTGTTATTTGTCTTCCTCTGAAAATGTTCACGTAGAAGTTTAAGTTATTTTGCTGTCAAGAAGGCAGGAGGCATGCCATACACCAAAGATTTGTGGAGCACCTTCAGTGGGTGCACAGTTTTGGAAACAAAGATACCTTCAGGGGGCTTTTTTCACTGACAGGGCAAACCTGGCCTCAGTGCAGTCCACGTCAACATTTCATACAACATTATTTTGGACATATCAGTGATCTAGTAAAGCTGTAGTACAGTACATGCCACACATGCGATAGTATCTATGTCAGCACATAGTCCATGCTGATGCAACAAATTATTATGATTAAATTAAAACTAAAATAATATTCTGATTACATGACTAAAATAAAATATCATTGTTACAATAACAATAAATTAAACCAAATACCAACTATTGATCAGGTATTGTTAAGACCTTTACCAGAGTTCACTCACAGCAAGCTAACTATATGTACCTACTCTTCAAAAACAATAATGAGTCCCTTTTTCTTTTTTTTTTCAAACTTGCTTTCACTGCAGTATAGGGAAACACTGCTTTGGACCTGTCAAAATGTCTTCTTCCTCAGGGATAAAGACTCCTATCTCACCCATTTTCTGCCATAAAAAGGAGAAAATAAGTATTATATTGTGCTGCTCTAAACCCACTGTTTACCAACAGGTTTAATGCAGCCTGCCCTTAATTGCATTCATTATCTAAAGCTCCAGGTCTGGGCCAAGGTTGCAGGGAGAGATGGGGGATTTGAGTTATCTCCTGTTTATTCAAAAATACATAACTGCCAGTACTGTAGATAATAAGTAATGAGTACATAGTGTGAAAATAAATAATGAAAAGGGCAGGGATTTTCTCTGTTCTTTTATCATACCCCATTTTCTCTGCGAAAAGAAAGTGTGAGGACGTGTAGGCCATCACACTTAACACGTATTGAAAGTCTGCAGGAAAATGGAGGTTTCTTTGTGTGAGGGGAGACATAATGGAGCCCCCTCCCCAGTCTGCTAAGGTGAAGAGTAAAATGGGGATATAATTGAAAACAGTGCAAGACCATATAAAAAAGAGGAGCAGAATTTGCCAGAAAAAGAATGACATGCCAGTTAGGATTAAATACAGTTTTGAATTAAACTTAGGTGAATAATCCGACCGTATTTACATAATGAGAACAGTTAATGCAGCAGTTTAAATAATAATTTTTAAAAGTGGTAAGAACTATCTGTTAGAATTTGGAAATATTTCAGACATACACATGACATACTGGACTAAGTACAAGAATTTCATTAAAATAATGCTTTAAAAATTGCACAATAAGTAGTTAGACACATGGTGATTAAAACTAAAGTTCTAGAGTACCAATAATTAACTGGAATAGGTGACAATGCCACACGCATCATCATGTCAATGAAATAAAGCTGATGCTTTATTATATGATAGCTTAGTACAAAAAAAGAGGTATAATTTTTATAAACAAATAATCATATAAAAGATGTAAATGTAATATTTATTATACCAAATAAGCAGGACAATTTATGTAGACTGCAAAACAACACTTTAAAGCCACTTTTCTATTTCATCTTCATAAATATATTTCCCTTTAGCTAAAATGTTTCAAATACCATTCTTCAAATGAATTACACACACCTGGCAGTGAATCATATGTCAATTTGGACATGCTAAGGTGTGCCCCCCATCCCAGTGAGCTACAGGAGATGACACATGCAGGGGCAGATGGGATGGATGGTTCTCCCAGGTTTATTTATCAGGGATGTCGGCAGCATGTTGTACCCAATGATCAAGCCAGGTGCCAAATCAGATAACGACCTGATAGATGAAAGCTGCTTTTAACGAACATCCACCAGAATGTCAGACACTGAAAATAACGGGGCCACTGCCTGACTGGAGACATTACTGTACAATAATGGTAGTTATGAGAAAATAAAAACATACATGGTAAGAAATGAAGACCTGATCAAAATTCAGACGCACTGGAACCATGCCATCAAAGCATGTAATTACAGAGTACTGTTGATAGGAATGACAGAAAGTGTCTTGTTAATCAACCATTACAATATTTGGTGAACAGAAGGTCAGTCGTGTACACTCAGTCCAGCGGGACGACTGCTGGTATGTGGACTTAATGACCATATGTTATTTTTCTATTGCCTATGATATCCATTCACTTTCCCTTTCTCTGTCTATCTCTCTAACAACTGTGCAACTGACAGTCACGCCAACGTGGCAGCAGACTCTAATAGATCCTCAAGAGACATCTTCATAACTCCCACTCTGTTTTCTTTTCCGTTTCTTTCTTTGACACATGCTCGGTGAACTGCATGGGGAGAAGGTGCCACAATGCAATGCTCAAAATAGAACAACTGTAGGAAGGAGCGCCTAAATATGGTTAGGGTCACATGAGAGGTTGCTTTGACCACCACTAGACAACAAACTATAAATGAGTCGGGGCAGTGAGCCACCTCCACCTGACTGCTATTAAAGCAACCTGAAAATTACTTCCACTGCAGCAGGAAGCATTCTTAAGGAAACTTAAGAGTGCTCAATATTTGACATAAATGTCAAACCTGGTTTTATATCCCATGTGAACACAAGGAACGTTTAAAAAAATATGACCTGCTAATGTAATGTTCACTGTTTATTTATGGTGACACTGCACCACCAATGGATTACAGCATTAAACTCTGGGGTGTTATATGGGATTCCATTAGTTGAAACAGTCAATGTGTCATGAAGTAGAATAAAAACAATGGTTGATTAAGATGGAGAACAACTATTGGCCTGCCAATCTACAAATTCTTTTCATTTAATTTTTTGATGGGGGAGGAAGGTTCATGCATCAGCCTGCTTTAGTCTGCAGGAGCAGAAATAGCAAACCCTCCCACCCCCAAAAAATGGGAAACAGTAATTTCAGTAATGGTGTCACCACCTGGGTGAATTTATAAGCCTTTTAACATGGCAGAAGATGGCAGGGAGGAAAGAGGAAAGCGGGAGACGATTTTTATCTCAGAGAGGAAGAATGACAGTTCCATTACCTGGGAGTCGCAGATGCTGCCTGCAATCCAGCAAGTAGAATTTTTCTCCCCACAACATGTGCTTATCAATACTGAAGTTAAGGCTTTTTGGACCGTCTGCAGTAAGGGCTCTCATCGATCACACCCAGAAAAGTCAATCATGGCTTTCACTAATCAAAGTACGCGAAGATTTTCAGTACATCCTTGCTTGGCTCCCTTAGCCGTCAAGCTGTATTTAATAAAGTAAATCTCCTCCAGGTCTACGATGCCACTGATAGTTTCTTTGAGGCAACAGGACAACTCTGATTAGGGAGAATTGAAACCCCACATCATGAAATATCAGTCAAATGATAATAAAAAAAGTCAGAACATGAACATATTACAGTTGATCTGTGTTGGAGATATATTTGAACCTAGCAATAAATAAAATCTTTGACTCCTGCTCCGAACACAGGTTGTGTTAAATCACCAGCTCAAATGTTTCTACTTGTTTCAACTAAGATTTGCTCCAACCTCAGGTTAAAAGCACTACATTCACATTAGCTCAAGGTTAAGGCTGGAAATTTGGTGTGACATCACTGAGCTAAGTGCAAGAGCACACACTCACACACACTCAAACACACATGCACAACCAGGATGACAGTCACACAGGGAAGCCCACTGAGAACATTTATGTCTAATATTTATGATCAGTGTTTAATTTTGACCAATCGCTGGTTTAAATATGGCACAGGATTAGAGACGAAAGAAATGACCCACAAGTGTATTTCTTTGTTAAATGTGTTCAGTTAAATGTGTGCATTAAATATTATGAAGCTGAAATTAATAAGAAGTGTGTGATAAAACTAATCAAAAGCAAAACTTGAGCTTTGGCATCACAACAGAGATAGTGAACAGAAAGTGTCACTTACCTTTTTGGTGTGTTCTGTTTGGTTTTTGTGATGTTAGGATTCCTTTATCTTCATTAGTCAATTTGCTGTGACCACGTCTTGTCAAACTCCTGGCTCTCTACAATATATAAACATTTTGTCAGTTTTGACAAATTATTTCTAGAACTAAACATCTGTTGATTTACATGATAACCAAAATATCTGCTAGTACTTGTCAAAAGTTGGATGACCTAGTATCACATTGCTCTTCCTGCCTTTAAGGTAAAATGTTTCCACTCACTTATATTTGAAACACTCTCAAAAGTGAGATTCTACATAAACAAAAAATAAATAACTTAAAGCGATGCCAGTGAGAACACAAACAAGTAAAACAAAAAAAAAACGATATATATGTCATGTATGATAAGGAGATGACTTTGTCTTTTGATTACAATATTGAGCCATAATAGTGTGATTTAATCACTATTTTTGCAAACTTTGAAGGCCATGTGTTCACATCCAGCAATATGGCTTTCACTGTCCCACCCTATATTTTTGTAAGTTTTTTTTAATTTTTCTGCATGTGTAGGTGTATGTATGAACAGCCACCAGTTGGAGTTGGATGGCTAGCCCTCAACATGTCATCACACGCCAAAAAAACCCAAAAACCTACACTGTCACATATTTTTTAGGGAAAAAAAGGTAAGGTCCCTGTGCTAAAAAATTAAAGGTCATTATGTAGTGAAACATACAGAGAAACACAAGCTATTTTCCTGATCAAGTTCATGCATTGGAATTGGGTGCTTTGATAGTTAAACTGTAAAACCAGCAAGGACTTTTGAAAAAACTTCTGAACAGGTAAAATAATCTATAAACATACTTTCTTTTTAGTAGATAGTTGATTAATTAATACATATTTTGACTCTGAATCTTCCCTAAATGTTAGGTAGGTTGAAAATGGATTTGTTGCTAATAATGTCACCTTTCGTTAAAAGAAACTTATGTATATAAACTAGTGTCAAAGTCAATAAATAACTCTGATATAAAGAAAAACATATCTGACTGTAGGTTTAACTGTGCCACAAGAAGGTGCTGGAAATAATTTCTAAACCTACCATAAAAATAACATCATCTGTTATAAATAACTTTTATTTCAAGCTGTACAAATGTGCAGCCAAGGGCAAGTTGATTTAAGCTTTTATATCAATGAATAATTAAAGCAGTGGGTGAAGACCATTCAGCTGACCTATAAAGATGAAGGAATGTTCAATATGGGACAATAAAGTAATGAATAGCTCTGGTCTTAACTGTATAATGAATAAAGGTTAAAGGTTGTAAAGATGTTTGAAAATGTAGAGCAGCAAACATGATATCAGAGTTAAAGAGCACCTGCTCTTCTTTGTATCATTTACCTTGATTTACCCTGATTTTTTGTTTAATATAGCATCTGTGATATCAGCAGGATTACAAAGCTATAGACGAGAAGGCCCAGAAGCCAGTGTATTTGCTGAGCAAGCCGTCCTAGAAACTGACAAACATGGACATGCGTGTTTGTCAGAAAGTGTGTGTGCACTTGAGTATGGCTGGAGAAGGATCATTTTGATAACTGCAGCCTTTCGGAAAGAAGAGCCACTCATTTGAAAAGACTAAATAGCAGAAGATAATTTAAATTGCCTCGTCACCACGCCATTGATGCCGAGTGCTATTACGCTCAGCAGGAGGGAATGATAGGTCTTCAAGAAAACAAGAAGAATACATTCCAGTATCATCTCTGCCACCATTAATGACATGTGCCATCACTTGTGGGCAAAAGAAACTTCATTACGCAAAAAAAAAATGGTTAAAGATTCACAAGGCCCATTGGGTAAACAAATGCTGTTTTTCCAGTAGGATGCATAATGAACATTTTTTAAATCATGTACTTCTGCTCCATATATTAGAACAAAAGAAGTTTCTCTTCAATTCAAAACACTTGCATAGCTCAACAGAAAACAAACAAAAATACAGCCTTCTCCCTCTTTCAGCCCAGTTCTGTCCTTCGGGCAGATAGAGAGGGCAAACAGGCTAAACTTGGGCCGTCAGCTAACCTGTGATGGATGGATTTGGCGTTGCTTGCTTTGGGACTGAAAGACGCTGTGCTCCAAATAAATTTCTGCACCTGAGGTATTAAAGCATTCTCTCCCACTAATAAAGATGTCTATCATCTGTGAATAAGTAACCTCGTCGACCCGCCAAGTCGGTAGTGAGCAAGTGGTGGAGGGCAAGATCAGCAGCCTACACATCAATCATGCATAAGCAACGCAACGCGATGAGTTTGGCCACGATAACAATTCCAAGAAAATATTGCAGCATAAAAATGGAAAATTAAAGGCAAGAAGCCAAGACGGTAATAGCATCACACTAATAAAAAAGATAAGCAATCAAATGGGAAAGTGACTTGCTGTAAAGGATAGAATATCAGTTCTCAGTCTTTCTGATGGCTTTGGTGGCAAGGTGCTTTTAATACAGGAGAGCAGCACAGAGCAAATGAAGTCTTGTCTAAACATTAGCAATCCTGGGGCACAGATTTTATTCTAAAGGACAATCAGATTCTAATGGTTCATATTATACACACCATCACGTCAATACTAATTAGGGTGAAAGCCTTTGAAACTGTAGCCTGCAATCTTTGAAAACAAACTAGAGAAGGTAAAAGAAGTGCATAAAAGTACATGTACCAATAACTGCCAAATATTAATTGATTTAAAAATGCACATTTTCAAACCTCATTGAATTTAAAAAATATAAATGAAAAGGAGTAGGGTATAGTGTGTATTTATATATTCATTAGAAAAATACATTGATTGTGCTACCTGATACTACTGGCTAACATGAGCCTCGTTTGTCACTGACACTGCTGCACATGTAGTACTTACCGACTGGTTAAAACATGTGTCATAACCTGTTATATTTCTTAACATTCCTTTGAGTGACACAATAAACAGACATGTCTCCCAGGATAAAAAAAATCATTTAATCAAGCAGGGGTTAGACAAAGGATTAAGGAATGTGTGTGAAGCAGATATTAGAAGGAACTGAAGGTACAGGACAAAAGCTGTGACTGGAATCCTTCACTCTATCAACTCCAATATACTCACTTAGAAGATGCATGAAAATCCATTTATGTTACATGACAGGAGAGGAGGGTGATGCAGTGAGCGAGGGTTGTTGGGGTGGGGGGCTGGGATGCTTGCAAAGATAGATAGCTGGTATGGATGCAGGTCTAATGTTGGTCTAGACACTAGCATTATACTCTACCAACCCCTGCACTGTTCTGTTACATTGGTTGCTAGAGTAGGATTTAAATTAAAATAAATAAAATCAATTTTAATTTACATTCCATAAACTGATACAAAATGTTATTTCACTTAATGGGTTTAATGGGATCAGATTGCATTTGTCTGTAAAACTAACAAAAGTCAGACAGCAAATTTATAAATATCCTTACTTGAAATAAACAGCATCTTCTGTTCTCTCAAATCACAGTTCATTTATTTCAGTAAACGAGAATATCAAGAGACTTGCTGCTGTAATTACCATATAGAAGTCTCCACAAATAATTAACTACAAGGCCATCATTACTAATGTCTAAACATGTTTTTGAGTCTTGTTTCTATCATAGTAGCCGAGTCATGAGTTGTCTAAAAAAAAGGGAGGAGTCTTAAGATGAACAAATGTGTGAAGTCCTGTCAAACAAATTAAGGTGTGACTAAATTGTCTTGTGATTTGAGATTTAGAATTCATGTTGTGAGGTCTTAAATTTTAAAACATTTTTAAAATATAAAAGAAAACAACTTGTGAAACAGGTATGAATAGTTGTTGCCAGCCCTTCCCAACATCCTTCCTTGTAATCTCACCCCCACCCCAGGACTATTGACAATGATGGGTGTAATCATGATGTGATTTTATCAAATACTTTAAAGCAAATTAACCTAAATATAACCTGTAAAACTTACTCAGGCTTTGCAAAGGTTTTAAACAAGCTGCATAAAGTTAAATAATTGTAATCAAAACAAGGTAAAAAGCAGTTTGTATTGTGATACCAAAGACATCCTTGAGAATTGTGGTCTTAATTGAGGGACAAAAAATGATTTTACATGTACAGATTTCTATAATTTTTTGTAACCTTTCAACATTTTTCTTATCTTTTTACAAGATTAAGAAGTTTTAATACCTGTATTTGTAATGTGAGTTTTAATGGTCCTAATAGTCCAGCTGCTCAGCACCACGTCTTCAGGAAATGGAAAAAGAAAGCTAAAGTGTTTGTTTATCAAAGCTGGGCCAGTGTGTGATCTGACTGTATGTCAAAAGTCAATTTATCTTGCTGAACAAGGTGACAGAAGCCAGCCAAGATTAAAGGACTGGGTCTCGAGCCGACTCTCACCTTCAGCGCTCTCAGTGCAGAATGAGGGTGCTCCATCATCCAACACGCACTGTGACACCAGCTGGGCATCTGGGTGGAAAGAGCAATGGGGTGTCGTGCTCTCCCACAAGCGCTTTCCTCTTGGCGTGACCAGGCGTGCTTTGGTTTCACCTCACGCATCAACTGCACATGAACAAAGAGGAAGCACCTTGGTGACTGCTCATGATCAAGGCCATTATAAAGGCAAAGAAAAACACAATTTCTTGGGAAGTTACACATCACCTCTTGGCATAAACATTGGGAGACTTTCTAATAGAGTGCAGCTGCACCACTACTATACAGTGTGCACATTAATAACCCTGATTTCCCCAAGGAAGAATGACAATAATGCAACCACTTCAGCACTGGACCGTACAAAAGGAATGTTTGCCGTGTGACTTTCTCTCCTTCAACTTGTTTTGAAACAAAGGAGGGTTCGGCGTCTTTTGCATCACATTCATTTTAATTAGTGTTTGTGCGCATTTGCAAGTCGACAACATGCATTTTAATTTAATCTAATTACCCGAAAAGCAGGACTCTATCCATAACTGTCACTTTTTAATCACGAGATTCCCTTTAAAGAGCAAAAAAACAAGGGGAAATGGAAAGGTTTTCTCATTACAACCTCAAGGATGTACAATGAAAAGAGATGGAGTAAGTTGTCCAGTTTGGACCTCATCCTTTTGATTTAGCAGAACTACTCAAACCTTAATGCTTTATTGCCATGAATAACATGCGTACATACATACAGTTAAAGATGGAGAAAAATGGAGTTCTCTCACATTTGCCCCCAAACAGTCATGCTGAAAATCTAAGGCAAATTTTCATTTTATGGCCCATCAGCTCCCTGATACAGAGCAAATGAATGCAGTAGCAAACAAATCTATCAAATCCTACATCAAAACAACCGTGCTTTCTCCATGTGACTTAAGGATAGACATCTAAAAGAGCGAGAGAAGGGAGGAGAGAAACGTGACAGCATTAAAAGAAAGTGGAGGCACTGAAGAAAAGTAAGTCCTACATACTGGCTTCAGAAATGCCCTGAAAAAAGAAGTGTTTAATAACTGCAATGCTTACTTCTATGCAAACTTTTTCTACTTTTAATAATGTGCTTACATGTCATCATGCCTTCAATTTGATTGACACTGGACTGGACTTTCATGCCCTATAAGTGACACATCTGCCTCAACAAAATCCCTTTGCCACAATCAAGATGGGTAACTTTTTCCTGTTGCTGCCTAGGAAAACAAAGATTTTTTTTCAAAGGCATCGATGCGTGAAGACGGAAAATGAAAGTACAGGTTGGAGCTGCTACGAGTGCACTGACGTATGGAACAGTATCAGTTCACTTCAGTGCTTCTCGTGAGGCATCATGGTGGGTTGAAAATGTCAATTTCATGCCATATAGACTCTGATTAAAAGCCTAATGGATACCTGTCTGGAACATGACGGGTTAATAGTGTCTTTGTTGCGCTCTTTGTCCGACCCAGGAAAAAAAAAAACGTAGACAGGATGAAGCATAAGACCTTTAATCATGTCTACCTCAGTGCTTTTTTTAAATGCATATCATACTATGATTACTTTACGTCACCTGGATTGTTCCTGCTCTCACTTGAAGATGAGTGGAACCTTAATTTGACCGGACTCCAGTTGATTCATGTAGGAGAACAGTGATCAGAGAACACACACATATATACACCTGCAGTGATCTATGCCCAAATACAATTAATCATTGTCAAGATTAGGATTTGGGTACATTTTTAATCAGCAGCACTGATGAGGAACTACTAAGATTAAACTTGTCATCTTGGTTTTTATTTTTCCACCAAGTAAGCTACACTTGAAATGATGACTTTGGATAAAATGACTGTGCTCCTGGGTTACTTTCAAAGAGTCAGTACAGTGAAGGGACAGAAGTGCAATCAGTCGTCAATGGCCATAAATTTCATTGCAGAGTGAGAGAGAGACGACCGCATTTGTGCTGACAATGTAAAATACTGGCTGCTTGTAATAGTTATTTCATTTTTTTTTGCAATTCACCTTTCCATAAGGGAAATGTCGGCTTTCTCTACACAGTTGCTGAGAGTGATTTTATACATACATGCGTGTATACACGTCCTAGTTCAAAGAAGAAGAAGTAAATGCCACTGAAATAGATTTGATTTTATAAGCCTAAACTGAAATGTGTCATCAGGACATATTTGGAATGGCAGAGATGGATTGCCTTTTAATGGAAAATAAATGCAATCCCAAATGTTTCTCTGATGAGCATGTGTGTTTGATTCAATTGCCTGATGAGCTCAAAAGCACCAAAAGAACGTTGATGCTTCTATATAGAAAAGGCTTCAAAGTCCCTTTGCAAATCTTTTTAAATTTGGTAAAGCAAACTGATGTTTGGCATTTAAAATGACGTAGTCATTGTTCTGCACACTTCATTAGCGGCACACGCTGCCTATGCATACAGCACCCGAGTGTCTTTTCATTTGAATGTTAGGATTTCAAGTACATCAATCATTTAAATATGAGGGGGAAAAGACTGTAAAGTAGGCATATACTGACTTTCGAGCAGGCGTTCAAATTGTAAAGTCACTTGAGAACTTTTACTTCTAACATATTTTTAACACAAATGCTACAATCTACTCCACCATCTTGCCCTTCTCTTCACTTCCCCACCACCATGCAAACACAGACTTTAATCATTTAGATTTTCATTATCAAAGCTACCTCTATTCATTACTCAATGTAGTTTTACTGCTAAGCCACAAACCAAAATTAATTTATTACTTTCTCTTCACAGCTAAAAATTGAAAAACAAATAAATAAAGTAAACCTTTGGACCTTTGGATTTGACTCTTCATTTTAAACTCAATTACTTACTTACTTACTTAATTTTCAAACATTATCTTTCAAGATGGATGGGTCTTCATCTTGCAGAGACAAAAGGCACAGCTACTCAAGTGAATAAGTTAAGGAAGACAACAAGTACATACTGTCTCAGTGTCACAAAGGCAATTTCACCCAGACAGGGAAGTGGGATTGGGAGGTTTCCGTATACAGCAAGTTGTCAGTCACATAAACCTGTGCCTTGTGGCTTTGAACATTGTGTGCAACGATGCTCAGCTTGTTCTTTGACTATTTTCCTCAACACTCCTGCAAGGCATTTTCATCCTGCTTCAGTGCCTTTCAAATCCTGGGGAAAACAAATGCGCCATGTCATTCCTGTATTATTTGCATGGAAGCCCACCAGTCAAGCCTTGACACTTGCATAATGAGTGGTAGATGTAAATTCTGCCCAACCCACCCCTTTTAGAATGAGAGCTCAATTAATTGACCTGCTGCAACTACTCAAGTAATATGAGCACTAATGTGATATACATATATATTCATATGCAGTATACACACGTGTGCATGTATGAAATGTATATATGTATATGCATACATATATACATACACAAACATAATATATATGCATGTATGACATTGGTTTCGATTTGCTCAGAATACACAAAATACACAAAAAATGGTGGTGAAATTAATTGGGAAACTCTAGGCTAAAATGTGATTGTGACTTTGATCAATGACTGAGAAAACTCATTACCAGCGTGGGCTGGGTGCGTGAGGTGGACCCTAATTGCAAGTCAGTCTGTAAATCTGTGCTGTAATTGACAGCTGGATGAACCAGGTGTGCCCAGTGCCACTGTGGTCTGATGGGAAAGAGGGACAGAGAAAGATTAAGTTTAAAGAACCAGGAAAATGTCTCTTTTTTTGGCTAATCTCAAAGTTTCAACTTGGAAAACATAACCTCTCTTGCAACGATACACAGCAACTCAGTATCCAGTGTTTTTGAATGACGGTAAGATCTAAAATTCTTAAATGACAAGACCTTGCAATCAAACAGGTGTTACACTGACCAAAGAACTGAACTGTGACATGGGGCAAAAAGTGAACATAGGTGAAAACATTATTTACACTATGGCTGATTTGCAAAGTAGTTTTGAGGTATTGTCTTTGTTATTAAACTGTTACTTTTGAAGGGGTTGAAAAAGTTTATTGCATTTGCCCACTGCACATTCACAACATGTTTTGACTAAATTGACTTTTTTTCCAGTAATTGTTACATTAAAACATTTTAATTGGAAAAGGGGGCATTTACAGGGAGTGCAGAATTATTAGGCAAGTTGTATTTTTGAGGATTAATTTTATTATTGAACAACAACCATGTTCTTAATGAACCCAAAAGACTCATTAATATCAAAGCTGAATATTTTTGGGAGTTGGAGTGGGGCTTTTTTAGTTTTAGCTATTTTAGGAGGATATCTGTGTGTGCAGGTGACTATTACTGTGCATAATTATTAGGCAACTTAACAAAAAACAAATATATACCCATTTCAATTATTTATTTTCACCAGGGAAACCAATATAACAGCTCAACATTCACAAATATACATTTCTGACATTCAAAAACAAATCAGTGACCAATATAGCCACCTTTCTTTGCAAGGACACTCAAAAGCCTGCCATCCATGGATTCTGTCAGTGTTTTGATCTGTTCACGATCAACATTGCGTGCAGCAGCAACCACAGCCTCCCAGACACTGTTCAGAGAGGTGTACTGTTTTCCCTCCTTGTAAATCTCACATTTGATGAGGGACCACAGGTTCTCTATGGGGTTCAGATCAGGTGAACAAGGAGGCCATGTCATTAGTTTTTCTTCTTTTAGGCCCTTTCTTGCCAGCCACGCTGTGGAGTACTTGGATGCGTGTGATGGAGCATTGTCCTGCATGAAAATCATGTTTTTCTTGAAGGATGCGGACTTCTTCCTGTACCACTGCTTGAAGAAGGTGTCTTCCAGAAACTGGCAGTAGGACTGGGAGTTGAGCTTGACTCCATCCTCAACCCGAAAAGGCCCCACAAGCTCATCTTTGATGATACCAGCCCACACCAGTACCCCACCTCCACCTTGCTGGCGTCTGAGTCGGACTAGAGCTCTCTGCCCTTTACCGATCCAGCCACGGGCCCATCCATCTGGCCCATCAAGACTCACTCTCATTTCATCAGTCCATAAAACCTTAGAAAAATCAGTCTTGAGATATTTCTTGGCCCAGTCTTGACGTTTCAGCTTGTGTGTCTTGTTCAGTGGTGGTCGTTTTTCAGCCTTTCTTACCTTGGCCATGTCTCTGAGTATTGCACACCTTGTGCTTTTGGGCACTCCAGTGATGTTGCAGCTCTGAAATATGGCAAAACTGGTGGCAAGTGGCATCTTGGCAGCTGCACTCTTGACTTTTCTCAGTTCATGGGCAGTTATTTTGCGCCTTGGTTTTTCCACACGCTTCTTGCGACCCTGTTGACTATTTTGAATGAAACGCTTGATTGTTCGATGATCACGCTTCAGAAGCTTGGCAATTTTAAGAGTGCTGCATC